AGAATGGATGGGGAATTACTAATAAACTATATACATGCGGTTATTTTACCGAGAAAATAAAGAAACTATTTACAATAGGCTAAAAAATAAAATTTTAATTCGTTACAGTACTTGAAATATATCAATTGACGGTCATTCATTTAATTGTATTTGCAGGTGTTCTTTCAACTTTATCGTTATAACTTCTAATATCCAAGAAACAGCACTATCACTAGTGAGAAGCATTGTTTTTATATTTCCATCTCTTGAATACTGTAAACATGTAAGAATACTTGATAGATCAACATGAGTTTTAGATAGGTTATTTCGTACGTTTATAAATAACTCATCACCGGATCTTTCTATTGGCAAATCTTGTAATGATTTATCATCAACTTTTCTCCAAAAAGTTCTGGCCAATGCATAATTATTTATCAAGGGATTTACATAATCGTTTATCGTAGAATTATTTGCCACATACCTCACTGCATTTTTATATCCTCTTTGCCAGAAGCCTGAATTTTGGTCAACATGTTTTTTACGTTTTAAAACTAAAGGTCTTCCTTTATTGTGAAAAAAACATCTCATATTTATATTTTGGTTTTCAAAAATCGGATCTCTATAATTAAAATCATTTATATTCTCGAATCCATTATCTTTTAGGATATTAATAATTGGTTCATTATTGAATTCTTGGGTAAGAATCACGAGACAGTCAAGCTTTTGAGATTCATCGGTATTAGGGTGTTGGGAAAAGAATTCCTTGAGAAATCTTGTGATCCCATCAAGCCGACCATTATGTGTGTTTGTGATGATAATGCCATTAATATTCGATATTTTACGTTTTAGAATTGCAGTCCTGGTAACATAGTGAACGAGAGGATCCGCTATCAATTATCCAGAAATTGTTTGCATTAAGCTCTAAAATTAATATAGAACTATTTTTGTCATTTCCCGTATAAATATAATGTAATATAGGTGCATTCTCAGGCATGATTTAAACAAAACTTTTTTACGGCTAGATCTTAAGGATTATCATAAGTATATATTATATATTCAATAATATATTATGTTGCAAGCGAAGTACGAATTTTTTTACTTTCTCCCTTTCGTTATTGTTCTAAAAGCTAATCGTTGTTCTGTAATTTAAAAACTCAACAGGTCACAATCAACTTCTCAAAATTAAATAATTTGTACAATTGTGTAATCATTGAAAGAATAAAATTGGTTTATGGTACTGTACGTACACAATCAATTTGTGTCACTGTGAATCCTGTCAGCAGAGTAACAAAGAGTTCACGACTATGGCATTTATTAATTTTCGGCTACACCAAGCACTATTTAAAAATTCATTTTTCGTCATTTTTCGTACTAAATTTGGCATAACCTCGCCACTAAGCTTAATGCTAACCCTGGATGAAATGCCACACTTTTTTTATTTTAAGAGTGAGGCCTGGTTTCGGTCTTTATTGAATAATTATGCGTTACATTGACTAAAATGAGTTACATGAACTATTACAGGGACTTACGGCTAGGACTGGTTATCCTCGCCCAAAACTCTACTAGAGTGAGCTACCCGGCCTCCACTAGATTTAGTGTAGCTAGGGATGGACTCGGTCGGTTACGGTCGGTTATCGGTCGGCTATTACCGGCTAGCCGATCATAGCCGG